ACATGTCGGAGTTGGAGTAGAAGCCGGTGGTGAAGTTGGGACTGTGATGAATGTCAGAATATTATGCTCTAGCCTGTAGTGGGGTGCTCTGTAGCGAGTACAACCCTTCTAGGGTTTGCTATTTGTATCCCCATTCTTGCTAGTTCAGTCCTCTCTTTTGCCTTCATTCTCTCTTGCCTAGCTAGGTCAACCCTAGCTATGGCTCCTCAGTATACCTATTATCACGACATGGTATTAGAGCTTAACGTTCCTGGCCTGTGGGCCCACTTCACTGCTTCCGCTGCTACTGCTACTCCCTGTCCGCCGCGCGCCCCGTGGTGCGCGGCGTCGAAACTAGGGTTTTCAGCCCGCCGTGCGCCCCGAGGCGCGCGGCGGTTTTCTGCCCGCCGTGCGCCCCGAGGCGCGCGGCGGTTCTCTGCCCGCCGTGTGCCCCGAGGCGCGCGACGGGTTCCTGCCCCGTCACTCGGCACGTCGCCCCCGGGAGGCGCTGCGACGGGCGACGGGGACCCGCGCGTCGCCCCCCGTCGCCCGTCGTGGCCTGCACGCGGCCCGTACACCCGGCACGCGGCCCGTACGGGCTGCGCCAGGCCCGCGCGCGGCCCGTACGGGCTGCGCCAGGCCCGCGCGCGGCCCGTACGGGCTGCGCCAGGCCCGCGCGCGGCCCGTACGGGCTGCGCCAGGCCCGCGCGCGGCCCGTACGGGCTGCGCCAGGCACGCGCGCGGCCCGTACGGGCTGCGCCAGGCCCGCGCGCGGCTCGGACCGCCTGCGCGCGGTTCGGGAGGCGGTGCCAGGCCCGTGGGCGGCCCGTTCTTCGCTTCCCCTGTCCTCCCCGCTGTCCCCCGTGCTTCTGAAGGCGCCCCACCCCTCCTTCTGCCCGTTCTCCTGGATTAGGGTTTGGGGTGGGGGGTATGGGGGTGCAGCTTCAGTGTGCCGTTCCCTGCTCCTCCTCCTCCCTCGTCTCCCTCTGCTACAGCTGCCGCTGAGGGGGGTGGTGTGTGGGAGCCTAGGGTTTGGGGTCTAAGGGGGGTACCGTCGGAGTGGAGCTAGGGTTCCAGCAGGGGGTGTGTGAGAGGGGGGTGGGACAGTCGGGGGAGGTTGAGCGGAGGCTGCCGTCTTGTCGTCAGCAGCACCTGTAGTCCGGGGCGCTTGTTCCGGTAGCCCAGTCGTAGCCAGCTGCGCCAGTCGCCCGTGGGTCCGTTGCTCGTCTGCCGCTCTTCTTAGCCGCGGAGCCAGTTACTCCTGTAGTCCGGGGCGCTTGTTCCGGTAGCCACTGAGCCAGTTTGACTCCTGTTGCCCGTGTGTCTGCAGCTTCAGCCGACGCCTCTTATCTCCTCTCCACCTACAGTCTCGCCTCCTCCTCCTCACTTGCCCCTTTTGTGACTGCCTCTAGCTTTGCTCATAATTGTGCACCTTAAACTATTGCTTCTTGCTTGTGCTCAGAATGTGTGGTGACATCGTGATCCACCCTGAGCTTGTACTGCTTTGTTTCCTCTGCTGATTACACCCCACTTTGGCTATGGGGGTGTGTCAGAATATTATGCTCTAGCCTGTAGTGGGGTGCTCTGTAGCGAGTACAACCCTTCTAGGGTTTGCTATTTGTATCCCCATTCTTGCTAGTTCAGTCCTCTCTTTTGCCTTCATTCTCTCTTGCCTAGCTAGGTCAACCCTAGCTATGGCTCCTCAGTATACCTATTATCACGACAATGAAATTCTCGTGGTGCTGGCTGAAGCTGTTGTGCAGGTGTTGGTGGTGCATCGTCGTTGAAGAACGCCGTCGTTGAAGGACCGGCGACTGGTGTCGTCGTTGTCGCTGTTGCTGTTGTTGTCTCTGCTGTTGCCGATGTTGTCTCTGCTGCTGCCGACGTTGTCTCTGCTGCTGCCGACGTTGTCTCTGCTGCTGCCGACGTTGTCTCTGCTGCTGCCGACGTTGTCTCTGCTGCTGCCGATTGTTGAATCGTTGCTAATGCTCTTGTTCTCTCTGTTTCAGGAATGGTATGTGAATACCAGAAGCCGCCTGTACTGAAGTCAGGATCAAGATCTGGAGGGTGTGTCCAGTTGGTGAAGTTGACTATGGCGTCGCTGTCAGCGGTACCGAGATCAGGAACGAAGTCCAAGACGAAGACGTTGTTCTTGAGGACTGCTTTTCCGATGTAAAGACCTCCTCTCCCGTGGTATAGCTTGAATTCCTGGGTCGTGCTGTCTGCTTCGAGGTGAATTCCCTTCGCCATCAGTTGACTGACGCTTAGTAAGTTGTAGCCAAGGCCTTCTGCGATTAAAACCTTGGACATTTGCAGAATGACGTTTGTCTCCCGTGACTGAAGTTGTACAATTCCTTGTCGTCGTGTGCGCAGGTTCTGATTATTGGCGACGGTGATGACGACCTCACGTTGAAGTTGATATTCTCGCTGTACGAAGCGTCCTGAAGAACACATGTGTTGTCCGCAGCAACTGTCCAGGAACCATGTATCCTTCCCGGATGGCTCGCTTTGGGCGATGGCGGCGTATGTCGGATTTGGTTGAAGTGCTTCGCGACGAGGTGTGGCGTTGTCGAGTTGTTCTTCCGGTGAGTAATGAGGTGGTGACTCGGTAATGCAGGATTCGCTTAGTCTTGCCATGCAGCTAACGATGTTTCTTGCTCCTTGTGCAGGTTGTCCTGTTGAGGTCGTTGAAGCTTGGATCTGGGTCGTTGGGTTTGCTTGCGTTGACGCAACTTGACCGCTTGAGGGTCGAAGGTGTCGTTGCGGGGTCGTTGACTGTTGACGATTCGGGCAGTGCGTGCGCGGGTGCCCTGAAGTCTTGCAGATGTGACAGAAGGGAGGTACTGGTTTTGGTTGTTGTTGTCGGTTGTTGTAGTTGTTGTGTCGTCGTTGCGTGTGAAAAACGAACTCTGATGTTGTCGTCTTATTTCTGTGTCGTTCTTCTTGCAGGTCCATATCCTGTTGCTCGGCGTGGATTTCGGCGCAGAGTGCTGCTTCAGAGATTCTCCCGTGGGCTCGGAGGATAGCTTTGGTGGCGCGCCACTGAGGACCTAGGCCACCGATGATGACCGTCACGAAGGCGTCTTCAGAGATGGACCCTCCACATCGAAGAAGCTTGTCGCGCAGTTCGCGACATCGACTGATATATGCCATTCCTTTCTCTCCTGGTTTCATCTCAACTGTTGTCAGCTGCGCCATTAACCTGCTCTGGTTTACACTGTCTGTTGCTTGATACAGGCTCTTCAGATGGTTGTACGCGAGTTCCGCCGAGTTGCCGAAGGCCCGGTAGGACCGAATGTTCTGCTGCTGAGTTGGTGTTAAGTTCCTCAGTAGGATCGTATACGCCATCATCGATTGATAAGTGTACTGCTGCTTCTCATACTGTGTGCCGTTTGCTGGGTATTGCAGGGACCCGTCGAAGAAGCCAAGTATCTGCGCGCCCTCCATCATCAACTCGAACTCAAAGGACCAGGTGAAGAAGTCCTTTCCGTCGAATGGTCTTGACGTTTGAAGCTTCAAAACGTGTGCAAACTGCGACTGTACTTGTAACGCGTCCAGTGATTTGTCTTGTGCAGGCGAAGACTGCGGCATGAAGCTGATTGACCCGCGTTCGTACGGGGCGAAGGTAGGTTGCTGTTGTTGATTTCCGCGCGCGTATGACGACCCGTCAAGGCTCATGGGCGTCGCTCCGTTGTTGCTGTTGTGTGTCTGTGCAGGTCCCGACTGCTGGTGCTGCTCGTAGAAGGACATGAAGGAGAAATTTTTTTCCATCATGCTTTGGTCGAAGTCCGTGGGGCGATTTGTGTGAGTCTCGGTGGATGTCCCCATGGGTCTTGTTGCCGTGCCTTCCTCTGTCTGCAGGCCAGAGGCAGGAGGTGGTGTAGGAGTAGTGCCCGGGGAGCCATTAGAAGAGCTCCTCTCCTTGTTTGTTGCCATGTCTTGTAATGTCTTTGATTTGGAAGTGGTAGAGTTTCCCCTGACTGCTCTCATACCATGTTGGGCTGAGATAGCCCCTTAGGATCTTTTCAGGAGTAACTCTGGGTAGGATAGTATTGTAACAGCGGAAGCTTTAATAAAACTTGTGAATCACCTTGCGCTAGTGTGTGAGGGCAAAGTAGATTATTTATAACAGGAAAGTACAAGAATATATAGTAGTGCAAGGAATATCAAAGGATACAGTTATAACTACTTTTACTGTTGCTGTTGCGGTTCGATACAGTGCGACTCGGGCAACTGCTCTGTAACGAGTCAGTTGTATGTCCTTAACAGTCGCACTGTACTTGTCGGGTCAAAGGTTGCTGACCTTTGACTTTCGCGTAACCTCCAGCAACCTCTTTCAACCTCCGAGGGTTGACTCGTGGGTGCTTCGGTGTAGTTTGCCTCGCTTCTGGTGCGGTGTTTCGACACGACTGAAGCGCTTAAGTTTTATTGTTTCCAACATGCTCGAATAAAAGCGTTGCCTGCTTCACCGTTTGGCCGTGTATGCAGACGCCACCACAATCATATGATAGTGTAGCGCTTCTGTGTAAACTGCACGTGGTTAGGCATGCCTTGGTATGCCAGTCCTGGAAGTGTTCCTGCACCAGTGCCACCTCACTTGCCCTGTGCTGCCACTGACTGCCGTGCTGCTGCCGCTGGCCGCCTGCATGGGATGGCCTCTTTATGGGGCGGGGCCCATGCTATTCTTCTATTCTGATTTGTGCTCCATCATCCCAGTCTGTAGCCAAGTAAGGACCTTACAGTAAGCTGATCATTTTCTATCATGCTGTGCAATTCGAGTTTGCGTTTTGCTATATCAACTGAAGTGATAAGATGATCAGATGTATGATAGATTCTTTTCAGCTGTACATACATTCGCTAAATGTACCCTGTTTCACCATGTTTCCAAACAAATGGTATTACCTACAAGAAAAATCTTGTGATTCCCGAGGCGGGGCGCTGATATCGGAGCACAGTACCTAGAACCTCTCGCAGATCGTCTCCCCAGCCCCTTTCAAAACTGTCCCGCAACGGCCTCCGCCATGCAGCCCCGCGCTCTCCTCCCCCATTCCCTGCACCCTTCCGCCTTTTCCCCGCTCACCCATCCCCTGCTCACCCGCGTTTCCGCCACCCCCCGCCGCGTCTCGCCTCGCGCGCAGCAATCAGGCGCTTCCGACACTCCGCGCGCCGATGCGCCCGCGCCTACTGAAGCCACGATGGCGGACGGCGCGGAGTTTGTGCGCCCGCATCTGCGCCGGCTGAAGCCCTACACCCCCATCGTGCCGTTCGAGGTGCGCCCATCCGCCCTTCCAGGTGCGCCCATCCGCCCTTCCAGGTGCGCCCATCCGCCCTTCCAGGTGCGCCGCGCCGCCACGCCGCGGCTCTGGTCATGGCGTGCCGTCACCAGAAAATCCCCTCGTGTTCGAAAAGGCGTGGCGTGGCGTGGCATCGCCACGGATCAATCCCATCTTCCGCCTGCGCCCTGCATTGCATTGCATTGCCCGCCGTGCTTACCCCTCTCCACACCCTCAATCCCATCGCGCCTCTCCTCCCCCCACAGTCTCCGCATCGCTCATCCTCTCCCTCCCTTCCCTTTCCCCGCCCCTCTCACTGCGCTGCTGCGCCTGGGCGGGCGAGGGAGTGCGCGCGCTTGGATGGGCGGGGGGGGTGGCGGAGCAGGTGCTGTCGGCGCAGCTGGGGCGCGCGCCAGAGGACATCGTGAAGCTGGACGCCAACGAGAACCCTTACGGCCCGCCACCTGAGGTAAGGGCTGCCGCCTGATGGGGGGGGGAGTGCATGGGGGAGGGGGGAATGCAGGGGCAGGTGGGAGTGCTGGGGGCAAGGGGGAGTGCTGGGGGCAGGGGAAATGCATGGTGCGGTAGCAGTGAGGGTGGTGAAGGGGGTATGTTCGAGGGCAGGCAGGGTGCATGTGCATGGGTTCTCTTCGACCACCCATGCCTGCCATGCCTGCCCTTCCTGCTTGCGGTAAGGCAATTCCCCCATTTGGTATAAACGTACGCATGTGTGTGTGTGTGTGTGTGCGCGCGCGCGCGCGCGCGTGCGTGTGTGCGTGCGTGCATCCGTGCATGGCTGCATGCGTGCATGCGTGCATGTGTGCGTGTGTGCGTGCGTGCGTGCGTGCGTGTGTGCATGGGTGCATGGGTGCACGGGAGAGCAGGTGAGGGAGGCGTTGGGATCACTATCATTCCCGCACGTGTATCCGGACCCGGAGAGTCGCCAGCTGAGGTCGCTGCTGGCGCAGGAGTGTGGCGTGCCCATGGAGCACCTGCTCGTGGGCTGTGGGGCAGACGAGCTCATCGACCTCATCATGCGGTAACCCTCACCCCCTCTCCCCTCGCCCCTGTATTTCCCCTTCCCCCTCGCCCCTTCTCCCCCCCGCCCCTTCTCCCCCACGCCCCTGCCCTTGTCCCCCCTTCCCTCCCTCCCCCTTCCCACGAGTGCATTGTTTGTGACTGGTCACGCATTTCGGGCTGAAACCGTGTACCATTTGCACCCCTGTGCCGCCTTCCTCTTTCCTTCCGCGTGTTGTGTTGGTGTGTGCTCGCATGTGTGTGACTGGATGAGTGGGAGCAGGTGTGTGTTGGAGCCGGGGGAGGCGATAGTGGACTGCCCGCCCACCTTCACCATGTATGCCTTTGACGCCCATGTCAACAACGCACACGTCATCACGGGTAAGCCTCTCCCGCACCACCTCAGGTGGGCACGGCAGGGGGCCACCGCAGGTCATTCCATGAATGCCTTGCCGCGCATCTACTTTTGTTTCCTCCTCTCGCTGCTCCTCCCCTTGCATCCACTCGTCTGCTCCATCTCTCCCCCCCCCCCCCCCACCCTGTGTCCCCAACGCCCCTCTCCCCTCAAGTGCCGCGGCGCAGTGACTTCTCAATAGACGTGGCGGGCGTGGTGGCGGCGGTGGAGGCGCATCGCCCCAAGCTGCTCTTCCTCACCTCGCCCAACAACCCCGACGGCAGGTGCGAGCCCAACAACCCCGACGGCAGGTGCGAGCCCAACAACCCCGACGGCAGGTGCGTGCTCTCTCGGTACACAGATGGGCTTTCGTCCCCATACTGTCCCCTCTTTCTCCCTTCCCCTCTTCCCCCCCAACACACGCTCGCACAGACAGACACGTGTGCTAACTTTCCCCTCTATCTCTTTTCTCCCTCCTCCCTCACCTCCCTTCCTCCGTCTTCCCCCCCCCCCCCCCCCCCCCACGCACACAGCATGTTGAGCGAGGAGGACCTGCAGCAGCTGCTGCGGCTGCCCGTGTTGGTGGTGTTGGACGAGGCGTACATCGAGTTCAGCGATCGCCCCTCCGCCATGCCGCTCGTGCAGCGCCACGCCAACCTCATTGTGCTGCGCACCTTCAGCAAGCGCGCTGGTCAGCACCCCCACCCCCTCCACGTCCTCCCTTAGCTTCCATGCCTGCCTCTCATCTACCCCTCATTGTGCCTTTCAAACTCCACTTGCTCGCCTCATGCCGTGCTCCTCTGCCCCTTTGTGCTCTCCTGCCGTGCGTGGGGGCGAGCAGGGTTGGCGGGGCTGAGGGTGGGGTACGGGGCGTTCCCCTTGCCGCTGGTGGAGTACCTGTGGCGCGCCAAGCAGCCCTACAACGTGTCCGTCGCTGCCGAGGTCGCCGCCTGTGCTGCACTCTCCAACCAGCCCTACCTGCAGGCATGTCATGTCTCCGCTAACCAGCAATACCTAGGGTCTGTGTTGCCAATAAGAGTGGGTGTAACTGGGTTATAAGCGGTGCACTGCACCCACACTGGCTCGCGTCTGTGCTCATGTGTTCATGTTGTCGTATTGATGTTGTCGCTGTTGTTGCCATGTTCCCATGTGTGCATGCTGTCATGTGTGGGCGGGGGGTGCGAGCAGGAGGTGAGGGATGCGCTGGTGAGGGAGAGGGCGCGTCTCATGGGCCACCTCACAGCGCTGCCGTTCCTCAAGCCCTTCCCCAGCCACGCCAACTTCATTCTCTGCGCCCTGCACAACACCCACTGGACTGCCAAGCAGCTCAAGGTAAGTTCCCGCTATGCCTGCACATGTCATATACCATATGTTGAAGTGATGCTGGGACAGCGTGTATGTTACCGGTACGCAGCAGTCACTGACGGCGTGTGCGATGGTGTGTGTGGTGGTGTGTGTGGTTGGGGCGGGAACCGTGGCATGTGGGCAGGATGAGCTGGCAGGGCGGGGCATCATGGTGCGGCACTACAGCCAGCCCGACCTCTGCAACTACATTCGCATCAGCGTCGGCAAGCCCGAGCACACAGATGCACTCATTCTAGCACTCTCACAGTTGACTTAGCATAGGTAAGGGAATTTGTCTGAAAACACCTGGATGGAGGTACCGTAGAACCAGCATAGCAATGTGTGAGGGACATGCAAGGTGCAGGCAATGAAGATCCAGTTTTGCCGAGTCCTAAAGGAATGTGATACTACCACAACACACACCATATGGAAAAATTAGCTTGTACGCAAAGTAAAACACGCTCCTAAAAGAGAAGCACTAATCACAACCTATTCCCAGCAAGTGTTGAGGTACAAACCATACATCGATCCAACTTCAGTGGCCTGTAAGCGCATTTCACTGTCAAAGAGATGGCTGCAAAGTGCAACGTCCAATTCAGACTGCATCTTCAGATTGGTCAGGTCCTTTGGCAGTGCTTGAAGGTGCGCACAACCAGCCAGATCTACGGTAGTACTGCAAGACTACACAGTAATGCATTTGAATAGATTACTATACACCTTCACTGTTGTTGGCAGCTTTGCTGCCACCAGAGCACCACACATGCAGCACCATGAAAGTTAGGGCGTGTTACACTTGTTTTTTACCGTCCGGACTGTTTTAGCATTGTTATTCACCTCCATGACCGTTCATAAAGTGCTGCCCACTCCTTACATACAGTAACAGCTCTTTGTTGACCAATGCCTATAAAATATCAGTGGGCAACAGGGCAGCAAGGCGCCCAGCAACGCTACAGCGGAGGGAGGGGTAAGGGACGGTGTCAAGCAGGTGTTGGTTGGCGTGAGCAGACGGAGAAGAGGCGCCATGTGATGATTGCCGCCACAATGCATGCCGCCAGGTGCGCACCTGCCACCTTGTACGGCTGCCAACCCAATCCGTGCTCCAGAAAGCTGCGAGGGAAGCCACACACAGGGAGGCATGGAGGATGGTGGGGTGTGTGTGTGGCTGCATTTGCAGTGCATGTGCAGCGTGTGAAAAATTGCAAGAACAAGGGCCTAGCGTGTGCAAAATAGCAAGAACAAGGGCCTAGCGTGTGCAAAATTGCAAGAAAAAGGGCCTAGCGTGTGCAAAATAGCAAGAACAAGGGCCTAGCGTGTGCAAAATTGCAAGAACAAGGGCCTAGCGTATGCAAAATTGCAAGAACAAGGGCCTAGCGTGTGCAAAATGGCAAGAACAAGGGCCTAGCGAGTGCAAAAATTCAAGAGCAAGGGCCTAGCGTCTGCAAAATTGCAAGAACAAGGGCCTAGCATGTGCAAAATTGCAAGAACAAGGGCCTAGCGTGTGCAAAATTGCAAGAACAAGGGCCTAGCGTGTGCAAAATTGCAAAAACAAGGGCCTAGCGTCTGCAAAATTACACTCTCTATGAGTCGACACTATGTTGGTCGACACTCTCTATGAGCCGACACTCCCTATGACTCGACACTTTGTTAGTCGACACTCTCTATGAGTCGAAAATTTGTTGGTCGACACTTTCTATGAGTCGACACTTTGTTAGTCGACACTCTCTATGAGTCGACACTTTGTTAGTCGACACTCTCTATGAGTCGACACTTTGTTAGTCGACACTCTCTATGAGTCGACACTCTCTATGAGTCGACACTATGTTGGTCGACACTCTCTATGAGCCGACACTCCCTATGACTCGACACTTTGTTAGTCGACACTCTCTATGAGTCGTAACTTTGTTGGTCGACACTTTCTATGAGTCGACACTCTTTATGAGTCGACACTTTGTTAGTCGACACTCTCTATGAGTCGACACTCTCTATGAGTCGACACTCTCTATGAGTCGACACTCTCTATGAGTCGACACTTTGTTTGTCGTCACTCTCTAAAAGTTGACACTCTTTATGAGACGACTCTTCGCTAGTCGACACTTTCTATGAGTCGACACTCTCTATGAGTCGACACTTTGTTAGTTGACACTCTCTATGAGTCTACACTCTCTATGAGTCGACACTATGTTGGTCGACACTCTCTATGAGTCGACACTCCCTATGACTCGACACTTTGTTAGTCGACACTCTCTATGAGTCGACACTTTGTTCGTCGAAACTCTCTATGAGTCGACACTTTGTTAGTCGACACTCTCTATGAGTCGACACTCTCTATGAGTCGACACTCTCTATGAGTCGACACTATGTTGGTCGACACTCTCTATGAGCCGACACTGTCAGAGGTCTACTGGAGATCCCCGATGATCCTAGGGAAGGGTTACAGGCATGTTGGCCTGGGGGGTTATGGGCGCACTCACCCGCTACACAAACAAGCCCTTTTATCCCAGTGGTTAGTGGTTGGGATTCTGACATGGTATCAGAGCGAAGGTCTCGGGTTCGAATCCCGGTGTGTGCACCTCGGGCATCCCAGTGCGGGGGGGTGTCAGAGGTCCACTGGAGATCCCCGATGATCCTAGGGAAGGGTTACAGGCATGTTGGCCTGTAACCCTTCCCTAGGAGGGGATCTCCGGTGGACCTCTGACACCCCCCCGCACTGGGATGCCCGAGGTGCACACACCAGGATTCGAACAAGCCCTTTTATCCCAGTGGTTAGTGGTTGGGATTCTGACAGACACTCCCTATGACTCGACACTATGTTAGTCGACACTCTCTGAGTCGAAACTTTGTTGGTCGACACTTTCTATGAGTCGACACTCTTTATGAGTCGACACTTTGTTAGTCGACACTCTCTATGAGTCGACACTTTGTTGGTCGACACTTTCTATGAGTCGACACTCTTTATGAGTCGACACTTTGTTAGTCGACACTCTCTATGAGTCGACACTCTCTATGAGTCGACACTCTCTATGAGTCGACACTCTCTATGAGTCGACACTTTGTTGGTCGACACTCTCTAAAAGTTGACACTCTTTATGAGACGACTCTTCGCAAGTCGACACTTTCTATGAGTCGACACTCTCTATGAGTCGACACTTAATAAGTTGACACTCTCTATAAGTTGACACTCTCTATGAGTCTACACTCTCTATGAGTCGACACTATGTTAGTTGACACTCTCTATGAGTCGACACTCCCTATGACTCGACACTTTGTTAGTCGACACTCTCTATGAGTCGACACTTTGTTAGTCGACACTCCCTATGACTCGACACTTTGTTAGTCGACACTCTCTATGAGTCGACACTTTGTTAGTCGACACTCTCTATGAGTCGACACTATGTTGGTCGACACTCTCTATGAGCCGACACTCCCTATGACTCGACACTTTGTTAGTCGACACTCTCTATGAGTCGAAACATTGTTGATCGACACTTTCTATGAGTCGACACTCTTTATGAGTCGACACTTTGTTAGTCGACACTCTCTATGAGTCGACACTCTCTATGAGTCGACACTCTCTATGAGTCGACACTTTGTTGGTCGACACTCTCTAAAAGTTGACACTCTTTATGAGACGACTCTTCGCTAGTCGACACTTTCTATGAGTCGACACTCTCTATGAGTCGACACTTAATAAGTTGACACTCTCTATAAGTTGACACTCTCTATGAGTCTACACTCTCTATGAGTCGACACTATGTTGGTCGACACTCTCTATGAGTCGACACTCCCTATGACTCGACACTTTGTTAGTCGACACTCTCTATGAGTCGACACTTTGTTAGTCGACACTCCCTATGACTCGACACTTTGTTAGTCGACACTCTCTATGAGTCGACACTTTGTTAGTCGACACTCTCTATGAGTCGACACTCTCTATGAGTCGACACTATGTTGGTCGACACTCTCTATGAGTCGACACTTTGTTGGTCGACACTCTCTAAAAGTTGACACTCTTTATGAGATGACTCTTCGCTAGTCGACACTTTCTATGAGTCGACACTCTCTATGAGTCGACACTTTGTTAGTCGACACTCTCTATGAGTCGACACTCTCTATGAGTCGACACTCTCTATGAGTCGACACTTTGTTGGTCGACACTCTCTAAAAGTTGACACTCTTTATGAGACGACTCTTCGCTAGTCGACACTTTCTATGAGTCGACACTCTCTATGAGTCGACACTTTGTTAGTTGTCACATTCTATGAGTCTACACTCTCTATGAGTCGACACTATGTTGGTCGACACTCTCTATGAGTCGACACTCCCTATGACTCGACACTTTGTTAGTCGACACTCTCTATGAGTCGACACTTTGTTAGTCGACACTCCTTATGACTCGACACTTTGTTAGTCGACACTCTCTATGAGTCGACACTTTGTTAGTCGACACTCTCTATGAGTCGACACTCTCTATGAGTCGACACTATGTTGGTCGACACTCTCTATGAGTCGACACTCCCTATGACTCGACACTTTGTTAGTCGACACTCTCTATGAGTCGACACTTTGTTGGTCGACACTTTCTATGAGTCGACACTCTTTATGAGTCGACACTTTGTTAGTCGACACTCTCTATGAGTCGACACTCTCTATGAGTCGACACTCTCTATGAGTCGACACTCTCTATGAGTCGACACTTTGTTGGTCGACACTCTCTAAAAGTTGACACTCTTTATGAGATGACTCTTCGCTAGTCGACACTTTCTATGAGTCGACACTCTCTATGAGTCGACACTTTGTTAGTTGACGCTCTCTATGAGTCTACACTCCCTATGAGTCGACACTATGTTGGTCGACACTCTCTATGAGTCGACACTCCCTATGACTCGACACTTTGTTAGTCGACACTCTCTATGAGGCGACACTCTCTATGAGTCGACACTTTGTTAGTCGACACTCTCTATGAGTCGAAAATTTGTTGGTCGACACTTTCTATGAGTCGACACTCTTTATGAGTCGATTCTTCGCTAGTCGACACTTTCTATGAGTCGACACTTTGTTAGTTGACACTCTCTATGATTCGACACTTTGTTAGTCGACACTCTCTATGAGTCGACACTTTTTTGGTCGACACTCTCTAAATGTTGACACTCTTTATAAAACGACTCTTCGCTAGTCAACACTTTCTATGAGTCGACACTCTCTATGAGTCGACACTTTTTATGAGTCGACACTTTGTTGGCCGAAACTCGTTAGTGTCGACTCATAGAGAGTGTTGAC